AATTCAGCTGACAAGACTTCCACATCATGTTACGGGATTTTCCCAATAATTCTATCGCAGCCGCAGGACTAACAGCTTCGGCAGAGTTGCATTGTTTATCAAATTCTTTTATCGATGACGCGAAGAAGTTAGTGTGCTGATCTTTGAAATTTATAGTTTACAGTAACCATCATTCACGCAAGTATTCTTCGTTGCATTATTGCAGTTTAAAAATCATCGCAGTTGTAGGCTAATTATGGTGTTCTTCGAATACTGAGGCCATAGATTCCGACTACGATACACGGGTCATGATGAAGAATGACCCATATCAAAGAAAAATGGAACAAAAACATTTTTTTAAATTTTGGCCTCGCGGACCGTAAATCAACATTTCAGTCGTTTACTTTGTCCATCCGGACACAACTTACAGAAACAAGCAGTGCGCGCAAGCTAGCGAAACCATAGACTTGCTAAAGACTCGCACTCACTTACCAGTATGGATAACAGAGCTTAATTGCGATTGCGCATCCTTCGGAGTAGTACGCAATGGCATGATGTTGCAAACCGACCATGTGGTGAGCGTCGCCAGTTTCCAACGTCGCCCATACGTAGCGGTAGAAATCGAATAAGGCGTCACCTGAAAAGCTAGAGATAATCGGACGACAAAACAGCGCAGCACAAAGTAAAGTAATGATTACCGGATGCTGGCTTAATATCACTTAAATCTTGGAACACGTCTTCACTCTGAACGCAACGCTTGACGGCCGCGGTAGAACAACGGAAGGCATTGTAAAGCGGCGTTGTCCAACTGGCGTACAACGAAACAGCATTGTCAGGAATCTCCTGACGACGTCTTGTCAGGCAAAGGTGCAACGCGTAATAATACATGAACTGTCTCCTGCAAAATTCACCAGAACTTGCAGGAACTTCATAGTAGTACGGCGTCACCTTGTCCAGTAACGTTGCAAGTTTGTCTACCTGAAAGAACAACTTACTGAGAAGTATAGATGAACCAACTGCAACATGCAAACGAAGTAAACACATGGCAAAATTCAACGATCAAGCTAATGCTACAGAGAGAAGATCAGACAAGCTAAGCAAAACAATAAAACTCGCAAATGCTTCATTTACATTATGATGATTTTCAACAGTATGAGATTTCAACGTATTCGCATCGCAGAAGGTGAAGAAATATATTAAATCGAGGATCCTTAAAATGCTGACATAATGCCAAGTTTCAGAGAACAAGCACCAAAAGTTTTGATCACGTCTATAGGATATTGCAACGAGAACAACGGCAACAACCTTCTTCGACTGATCCTTCTTCGAAATTAACAGGATCACCATTGTTTAATCTTGACGTCGACATTAATCTGTCTCGTACGATTTGTTGCCATAAGCTCCCATATCTCTTTTTACCTCATCATCCCATCCTCAAGACCGAGGACTTCCAATCTGGTACTTGCAATCTCTTGAGTACCAATCTACCACTGCTTAAGTCCATCGATCATTCGTTCGTCTGCGATGTAATCAGCCGTAGTCTGACTTGAGCTGCACGCAGAAGAGTGGGGGCCATTATTATTTGTACTTTTCATTTCATTTGATTTTGGCAAATAATTTTCGCTACTGTCCGCAACTGCCAGGCATCTCGGATAGAACGTCCGTTTGTCATTCACTCCGCCTAAATGGGTTTCCATGTGAAAACTCAGCGAACGTTAACCGGGTCAGAGTTTTCCTCGGTTGATACAACCGCCTTTGTTCCGGCGGTTTCCTCCTCCGCACCAAGGCGCGGTGCCACATGTCGCGGAGGGCTAACAGGGCCTAAATTCGCCAAAAATTCAGTCTCATGTTGACTTAATGAAATACGTACAGGAACCAAAGTATAGGATCACGCGTATTTTCACACGCTAAAAACAAAGCAATGAAACCCTGTCGAGAATATTGAAATTGCAAATTAATGAAACCATAAGAGCCCACCAGTAACATATTTCCTATGAATTCAGGACGACGCTTCTGGTAAGAACCGACGACTTGCTCCTAAGCTGTACAACGTATATATTAGACACTTTTAGCTATATTCGAAAAAGCAACGTTTGCTAGATTACTTATTGGCTATTTATTTACCGTACCACCATAAAATAAGTAGATTTTTTTGCGCATAAAGGAAAACTGATAGATCAGCAAGAATTAAGTTCATTGGAGATCATTCTTACAGTTTCACGACTGATGCTACATGCAATTCAATGCATTAATGGGACTTATGCGACGCTGATCTTCGTTTCGATGCCATCAGTAAAGAGGCATTTATTCCTAAAGGCAGTGCATACAGTGGAGGCAGCTGAAATCTCTTGTTTCGCTTTTCCGTGCTGGTATTCGCATACTTACCTAAGAACAATGGATAGTGGGTGATTTATACGGAACATAAACTTGCGATCTTTTGAATGGGGTTCGAATGTACTATCGCTTGAGCTATCTTAAATTTTATCCAAATCCATCCACTGCGAAGACCAATAATTAATACTCGCCAAGACTGCGATAGGAAACTAAGGGCTGAATTCGGTCACTGAAAACAAAATATGATTCTCACGGCATGTTCAATTTCGCAAACCGTCTCATGGATGACTTGAAACCGATAGGCCTTATGATTTCATGGCTAGCAGCTCAGGGCGTATTAATCATCACTTATTGAAACGCTTGCCCAAAAAAAATCACTGTTTCGCTTCATTCAGGGCTACTCTGTAGTGTTTGAGCAAATAAAAGCTAATTTTATACCTATGGGGATATGACAGTTATTCTTATTGTCGTCAAGAAGTAGTTAAGGTACGAGTGGCGTGACGTCTGAGAGCTTTAAATGGCGAAATGTGAAGAACAAAAGCTTCCGTTTTCTCTAGCTACAATGCTAGCTATGGCACCTTGGTAGCAACCAAGAAACGGTCGATGAAACGAAATCCTGATGAAAACAACATGATTTGGTCGTCTGCTCGAGGTACTGGAGAAATTTTTGGTCAACAAGAGCATCGCACCCTATAACAGCGAAGAAACGACTAAGTACCAAATCGATGCGTAGAAACTGATGAGAAGCAAATGAGTGGGCAAGAATTAGACCAAAAATCGACAGAAACTAGCTTCAGTAATAAGATATTGCCGCGAGAAAGGTTGAGAAAATAACAGAAACAGTCTAGCATGAACGATGTGAAATGTAAGCATGGTGATGTACACAAAAACGTGATAATCAGGTCTAAACCACAAAGATGACACTGAGGAGGCCAGGCAGGCAGAAATAATGAAATAACAATATTTACAAGTACCGAAGCAGTCGAAGAAAATGCGAGCAGCTTCAACAATTGCAGATATCCTTCGTCGAAACCATTCATTGTTGTTAAGTCGCTGACGCACTGCTCATATAAGGCACAAGCCAATTTGGACAAGCCATGTTGAACACAGAGCAATACTAGATTACCGAAATCGGCGAAACGGTTGCTGTACTTGAATATCCAAAAACTGAGGCGGATGCCGCGGTCGTTCTGAAAAGTATACCACCGAATCAGCAAACAGCCAAGAAAGCTGAAAAAAACTTACATCTCCGCTGAGTAGCATCAGCACCATTAATTTGCGTACGTATTCCACATACGAGCACTGTTCGTCAACGTTTAACATAGCGAAGCTATTATCAATCAAATGCTGCTCCCACACGGTCCACGCTGCCTTCAGCACAGCGTACTCTTCTGAATTCTCCAAGAAGCGAGGTGCAATGTTTAACGAAATGCCGCTAAAAATCATATTATAAAAGTTTCTTAAAACAGTGAACCATGAAAGCAAGTGCATACCTGTCTAAATCTTTGTATGTGAAGTTCACCTAGAATGAAGGTAAAATGGAACAGAGAACCAAGAGATTATGTATGCGTCATTCAACAGAAAACTAAGTATAGACTCGAAAATATAGTTATTTTTATGCAGCATTTTGCTGATCCACTCGCTTAAAAAACAGCAAAAATACGGTTAAATAATACAGCAAAAATAATACGGTTAGTCGGATGACTGAACCACACCGACGCTTCGGCTCGTGTCTCACAAGCCTTCTTCAAAGTAAAACGTACGTACAGTTTCAGAGGTATTTCTTGTTGTTTGCAGCGGTCGATAGGTGAGGAGTCAAAAATCAAGCTTCTGGCTAGTGCTGCTGATTAAATAGTTTCTTAGAGACAGAGGCGACAAGGCTTATCTAATCGCAAAGAATTTGTATTTTTTGTCACGGTTAACATGGTCGCAAGATTAAATGACCGATGCCTCCGTGATGCGTCCATAAATCAGCGTGTATTTCTTTAATAATGTCGATATACTCTAGCCATCAGGAATGTGCCGGGCAGTGCAGCACAATCCCGGAGGTCTTTAACCGTGTTCTTTTACTTGACTGGGGAGAAGCTTTGTTCATTTCCAGAGTGTTTCGCTATTACATGTCGCATACGCCCATCCGCCTACATATATCTTCACCAGCTGGACAGGAAAAACATTCCGAATGAAAGCAAAGCCTCCGCCCCATTCAGCCAAGTAAAGGAACAAAGTCCTCAGGTATTGTGAAGCACGCGATACAGGAAAGGCGCGCCCCTGATGATCGGAATGTACAGGCATCATTAAAAAAATACAAACTGGCTGCATAGGCGAGTCAAGGAGACACTGATCATCCAATCTTATCACAGTGTCAATCATGAAAAACTATACAAATTCTGCGCGGACTGGATGTCCTGCCGCTCCTGCCGCAATCAAACAATTTAACCAGCAGCACAGAATAGAAGCTCAATTAATGGCTCCACACCCATCGACCGCTGTTGACAACAACAAAAACCTCTAAAACGTT